TTGACTTATCTACATATCAAATGCTTTTTTCCCTGCTTGGAAAGTTTTCTGCTATTAGTTCTGTGAACAGCTTTTTATGTCATTTTAACAGTCTCCTGCTTTTCATTGACTCCATTCAGTCTTATGTTATTTTTCTTTGCATCATCTAGCAGCTGCTAGCTTGATTTCTCATAATCCCTTGCTATTTTTTTTCAAAAGAAAACAATGCACATGATATAGGACTTCAAAACAAGATAAAAGAAAATGGACAATGACTACCATAGTGCCTCTTGTTCTCTTCAAAGTAGCTACCTATACCATCAGACAAAACAAAATAGAATAAAATCAATCAAAACAAAACAATGAAAGCAATATAAGATAATAGGAAATCAATAATGGCTACCATAGTGTATTTTGTTATCTTTGGAATAGCTGCCCATGCCTTCATATATAGCAAAATCAAACAAAACAAAATAGTAAAACCAAACAAAATAGAACAATGAAAAAAATACAGGGCTTCAAAATAAGATAATAGATTAACAATGGCCATGACTTCCCTTTTTAGACATTTCCTCCCCTTTCAGTTTCACAAAATTTATTATGCATTTGGGATCCCAGTAACCCTTAGGTTTTATACCAGGGAGGCAACACAATGTTTACCCATGTGACTTTGAACCATTTTACCCATGTGTATGGGTAAATGCTCTCAAGCTGTATCCATTTACCTACTAGAGCCTTGAGGTTATCTTTCTTTTTTTTTTTTTTTTTTTTTTTTTTATTGGTACCGGGGATTGAACTCACAACTGCCTGCTTGCAAGGCAGGTGCTTATGCCGCTGAGCTAAATCCCTAGCCCCCTGAGGTTATCTTTCTTTATAGCTGAGTAGCTTTCCATTGCATAAAAATGTCATACATTTCTTGTCTCTTCTGTAGTTGATTGGCAAGGTACCTCTATTTTGTTCTGATTTTCTGTCACATAATGCATGTTTTTCTCTCCTTTGGCTTTCAGTCTATCAATTTACTTTCCAATTAAATACATTTCTTGCATAAAGTATATTGATGAATCCTGCCTCCCAATCCACTCTGCCTTGTTTCTTATTATTGATAAACTGAGGCTATCTACATTAGTGGTTATGGCCAACATGTACTGGCTTATCTTTGCCTTGCTATTTTCCTGCTGTTGGCTGCCTATTTTTCCCCTCCGTTCACTCATTTGCCCTTCTTGGCAGTCTCCCTCTCCTGCTGCTCCTAGAACCATGGTAATTTTTATCTCTCTCTAGAATGGCCTTCAGTATTCTTCATAGGAGTATTTTGGGGGTCATGAATTCCTTCAGTTCTTTTCATGGTGGTATCTTGTTTCTCCACTAATTTTGAAAGGTAGTTTTTCAGGGTACATCAGTCTGGGTTGGAAGTTGTTTTCTTTCAGGACTTGAAATATTTCAACCACTTCTTGACTTGATGGTTTGTGTTAAGAAGTTTGTCATGGGCTGGGGATTTAGCTCAGCGGCATAAGCGCCTGCCTTGCAAGCAGGTAGTCGTGAGTTCGATCCCTGGTACCGATAAAAACGAAAAAGACCACAAAAAAAAAAAAAAAAGAAGTTTGTCATGATTCTTATGGGTTTTCCTTTATAGGTGATCTGTTTCTTTTCTCTAACAGCTTTTAATACTCTATTCTTGTGCTGAATTTCTGGCATTTTAAATATTATATGTCTGGGTGTAGATTTATTTTGGTTATGGCTATCTGAAGTTCTATATGCCTCACTCATCTGAATGTGACTTCCTTTTCCCATGCTTGGGAAGTTTTTGCTTTTATTTCTATAAATAGGCTTTATATGCCATTTGTGTTGAACCCTGATTTTTCAGTAACACCTATCATTCCAAAGTTATTTTTCTTTCAGTAGTCTTGTAGTTGTTGAATTGTTATTTCCTGGTTCCTTGTTATTTTTAAGAGATCTTTCCTTTTGTGATCAAAAATATGCAAATCTGTCTTCAAGGTCTGAAAGTTTATCTTCAGTTTCTTTCAAGTGGTTTTGTTAACTTTCAAAGGAATTTTTAATCTCCTGGCTATCTCTTTGAATCTGTTTCATGCATTCTAAGTCTTTCTTATATTGTTCATTCAAGGTTTCTCTCATTTTCCTATGTTCCTCTATTTTTTTTTATCTACATCTTCTTTAGAGATGATCAGCAATTATTTTTTCTTCTTTTACCTGAGACAGTATTTCTGTTCTAATTTCTTTTATAGCCTCATGAAGTTGTTTCTTTACTTCAGTTGCCATCACTTCAGAAACTTTAGGTGTACAACTCCCAATCTCTTCCATGTTTCATCTCCTCGACTTGCCTCTACATGAGTTAGAGCCCAGAGACTGCCTTTTACTTCATCATCTTGACATTTTCCTGGGTTCCTTTGGACAAGTGGATAGTGGGGTCCCAGGTACTTCTCCCATTGTCTACAATTTCTCCCAAGCATGACTGGCTGGTTCTACTGGCCAGCAATAGTTACAGGTATCAGATGGTGGCAACTGGGTATGTTGGTGCAGGATTGGCTGCTGCTTTTTCCAGCCCACGCTGGCTCCTGGCAGGAAGCTCCCTCATGGTGGCCAGCATGGGTGTGAGGGTGTGGTTGGCTGCTGCTTCTCCCAACCCAAACTGGTTACCAGCAAGAAGTGTCCCCAGTGGTGGCTGGTATGCATGCAGGGCAGGGCTAGCCACTGCTTCCTGGACCCAAGCTGGTTACCAACTGGAAGCATCTCTGATGGCCAATTTCTGACTATTTTAAAGAATTTTTCTTTTTGTGATTGCTAACCACAGTCCTGGCTTCTAAATCTGATATTCTGTCCTCATTTGGCCCAGTTTGCTGCCTATACTTTCAGTGGAATTTTTAATCTCCTGGATATCTGTTTGAATCTGTTTGTGGTTTTTTTTTTTTTTTTTTTGGTCTTTTTTGAAACTCTCACTATGGAGTTTAGGCTGGCCTTGAGCTCACTTTGTAGCCCACACTGGTCTTGAACTCACAACGATCCTCCTGCCTCAGCCTCCTGAGTGCTGGGATTATAGGGGTGAGCTACCATGCCCAGCTTTCTGTGGTACCAGGGATTGAACTCACGACCTCACACTTGCCAGGCAGGCATTTATGCCGCTGAGCTAAATCCCTGGCCCTGTTTGAATCTGTTTTATGGGTTCCATTTCTCTCCTTTGTTGGACATTCATGGTTTCATAACTTTGCTAAGCTCCTCTGTTTTTAATCTGTAGCTAGGGATGAGGATTTAGCTCAGTGGCAAAGATGTCTGCCTGCTAAGCACAAGGTTATGAGTTTGATCTCTGGTACCAGAAAAAAAAAGAAGAAGAAAAAAAAAAAAAGAAAAAAGAAAACTACCTAATCTGTATCTGCTCTAGAGTCACTAAGAATTACCATCTCTGTAGTTATAGGATAAATTATTTCTGGTTTGATTTTTTTCTGGGTCCATGTTCATCTGCTTTGTTACTTCTGCCATTAGGACTTCAGAGCAACCGTGTGGGTGGCTTTCAAAATTGTTTCATGTCATTGCCCACTGAGTTTGCTTTCAGTGAGCTGCAAGCCTAGGGGATTGCATCTTGTTTAAGTGTCTTCTCATTTTCTATTTTTTAAGTTCATTTATGGGTCAATGCTTATAAATTACTTATGGTAATAGCGTTATTGATAGTATTTAGAACCCCTTGGAAATGACTACTTCTCAGATATGCCTTCCAAGTGCAGCTGGTTTTGGATTTTGAGTGTATTGCAAGATCCTGTTTCTTCTACTCATGGTGGATGAGAGGTTATTGCCTACTTGACCAAGCCACTTGTTCTTTGACACTGCCCTATAGTGTTGTTTATGACCCTTAAGCAATGTTGGTCTCAGGATATCAGGATGAACAACTGATTAGAACAATTACATCACCTTGGCTAAAGTAGTACAATCAGCAATAACAATAGCATCAAACACAGTCTAGAAAATGACAAACTATGGTGACTATTAATTTTAGGATCTTTAACGATTGTTAGTACAGCTATTATGGAAAGCAGCATGGAGTATTCTTAAAGAATTAAAAATAGAACTGTTACATGATCCAACAAAGGAACAAAAATTGGTATATTATTGCAGCAGAATTCATAGTAGCCAAGGAATGGAAACAAACTAAATGTTCATGTATTTATGAATGGATAAAGACAATGTGGTACATACATAGAACAGAATACTACTTAGCCATAAAAGTGATGAAATCCTTCTAATTTGTGACACAGATTAAACTGGTTCATTATGTTAAGTGAAATAAGTTACAAGGGCTACGTGATCTCATTCATATACAAATCTAAAAGTATTAATCTCACGGATGTTTAGAACAGAATAATGGTTACCAGAAGCAAGAGAGAGGAGATAGGGACAGGAATGGAGACAGACTGACCAACATTTACTACAGTACAGTAAGATAGAAGTAAGTTCAAGGGTCCTATTGTAGAATAGAGTAACTATAGACAATGCAAATGTACTGTATATTTCCAGAGGCTATAAAGAAAGATTTTGAATGTTTTTAACATGGAGAAATGAGAAATGTTTGAGGAGATATGAGTGGTACTTTGATTTGAACATTATACATTGATACCCCACAGATATGGACAATTTTATGTTTGTTAAAAAATAAATACATACACATTTATATAAATGTGTCTCCATTTTTAAAATTTGTATAATGAAGAAGCTCATTGCTGTTACACCCAATGTGGTCATGAAGATTAAATGAGATAATCATGTAACAATCTTATACATGGCCAAGAGAGAATAAAGTAAGTTGATAAAGATTAGTTGTTATTACTATTAATATGTCATTTTGTCCTGAAGGTAGAATTATAAGGATGATAGTGAAATTTAGTATTAGCTCAAATATGATGAAATTAGAATTGTTCTGATTCATAAGTCTGTGAACCCTTTTATTAGCCACCAATTCAGAGCAATGGCATTCCTCAACTGTCAGCCTACCCATCTGTCTCTCTTTGCCTTTATCCCAGATGGAGTGGCTGCTCTGCCTGCCCCTCAGAACCTCTCTGTACACTCAACCAATATGAAGCATCTCTTGACGTGGAGCCCGGTGGTCCTACCCAAAGAAACAGTATACTATTCTGTCGAGTACCAGGGGTGAGTTTTGTTTTTATTTCCTTCAGGCACAGCCCTTCCTCCTTAGCTAAAGGAGGTTTTGTGAACTGAGGGACAGATGATCTCTGATGATCTGCTCCCTCAGTGTGTGGGCATTGGGAGAGCTGAAGAAGCCAGGGATATCATCTTGTGGATGTGACAGCAAACTTTCTGGGAATACAAATGTGTATAAGAAAAAAAATATGTGTAAGTCCATTGTAATGCAGCTTTTCTACACAGAATCAGCTGTTCAAGGACTTTGATATTGACCTGAGATTGATAAGTGGTTGGAGACCCAGATCCTTATTGTACAGGAGTGATGTCAGCCTTCCTGACTAGCAGCTCATTCCTAGAAGCCAAAGAAGTCTTGACCTTAAAGGAGTTGGCCTGGGACCTATCAGGGTCTAGCAGTGGCCAGGTGCTTGCTACTGTTAAGTGGCAGTGACAGGGAAGGTGCTCAATATATTTCATTAGCAACAAATATAAACTGAATTCTCTGTGCATAGACATTCTGCTAGGTTACAAACATAGTTGACTGGGATTCTGCACATAGGGAATTTAACATCTAGAGGCAGAAACAGTGAATGTAGTAGGTCTGCATTCTCCGGTTAGTACCACTAGCAATAGGTAGATATTTAAGTTGAAATTACGTTAAATTAAATTAAAACATGTGTTCTCTAGTCAGGTGTTCCATAGCCACATGTCAGTAGTGGCTAACACACTGAACACCACCAATATGGAACATTTCCATCATCATAGGAAGAGAAGCCCTGTTCTGTTTCAGGCAATTTCAGGTATTGATCAGTGCTAGGAGGCAGCCAGAAGGCTGATGCAATGGAGTTAACTCCATGATGTTTCATATTAGGTGGCTGGAAAGGCCTCTCTGAGGATGTAATATTTGTCATATCTGGAGGGCAAAAGGAAACATCTAGGTAAGCAGCATTTGGAAAGCATTTGAAATAGAGTGAACAGTTAGTCAGGCAAAAAGCTAGCCTGAAGCAAAAAGAGATCAGTGTTTTGCAGGAATGAGCAGGAAGTAAGTGTGCAAGAATATCTTTTTTTTAGTTGTACTAGGAATCAGTCTCAGGACCTTGTGCTTGCCAGGCAGGCACTTATGCCACTAAAGCTATATCTCCAACTCTTACTATGTATTTCAGACTGACCTTGAATTCACTATGGAGCCCAGCCTGGCCTCAAACTTGTGGTGTTCCTCATGCTTCAGCCTCCCCTGTGCTACAGGGATGTGCCTCCATGCCTGGTTTAACAATTTCAATTTTATAGGCTTGGGATAGAGAAGACTGGAATCTTGTAGGCCACAGGGAAGAGTCTGGGCTCCATTCTAAGTGCTTCAGGAACCATTAAGGATAGAAACATGTAATTTGCTGAGTGGCTTGGGGAACAGAAGTGTGGAAGCTAGGAGGCTACAGAAAGGAAAGGCACAGTGGCAGTAGAGGGTGGTGACAGAGGACATGAATAGGAATGGACAGATCAGGGTTTCTGCTTAGGCTTCTCTTCGCTGGTTATAAAAGAAGTAAGGGTGAGGGATGATTGGTGAGGGAGAAGTGGAGGAACTGGGGTGGGAAGCAATAAGCATCCATAAGAAATAGGAGAAAGATAGCAGTTACAACCATCTTTGAGTCTGGGTCACAGAGGCTGAAGTGACACTGTACCCTCCTCTCCTTGGCCAGCGAGTATGAGAGCTTGTATACAAGTGACATCTGGATCCCCAGCAAATGGTGCTTATGCACTGAAGGTCCTGAGTGTGATGTCACTGATGACATCACTGCCACAGTGCCATACAGCCTCCGTGTCAGGGCCATCCTGGGATCACAGACTTCGGCTTGGAGCATCCTGGAGCAGCCCTTTAATCCAAACTCAAGTAAGACTTCTCTCCCTCCTTTCAGGAATCATGTTCACAGAGAGTTTTAGAGCTTGTTTTAAGGTAAAAATATTCTTGCAAAACCAGACCACTGTGAACACAAGCCATCTTTTTTAGTACATCTCAGAAACTGTCTGTGTCCTACATGCTGTCTCTCTCATGCCCTTGTTTGGAAGTCCTTTCTGACCAACTCTGTCAGGTGGTAGAGGGGGTTGTCATTGGGAACTGGAAGAAATGTTTCTCTGGAAATTGGAGAATAGAACCAAAATCACTTCTTACCTTGATCATGCCTCCATAAATCTTACATGGCCTCCCATCTGATGCCTCACAGCCCCACATTTACTCACTGTTTAAAAAGATCTTTACGTGTAAGAGCTGCCATAAACAGCTCATTTATATGGTTACTGGCCAATAACTTTTTTATTACAATAGTAACTGGAAAATTATTAACAAGCGAATAAACCAGGTAGGTGGCCAGATATGGCTACATGCAAGTGATGGGCAGTGTGTAGAAGAATGTGTGCTTGGGAGACAACAGAGGAAGAGGTCCCATGAGTAGAAGACAGGGAAGCAGCTGGCCACATGGTAAAGGGTTTTGCCATGAAGCTTGGTCTGGAAAGTAGGGGGCAGCCGTGTTAGAGTAGAAGGTCTAGACCAGGTTTATCTTATAGAACAATCTTATAGAACAAAAGTGACCTGGAGTGGGGCAAGCCTGCAGGGCAGGAGAGGAGTAGGAAGTGGTTGTGTAACACTCCAGCTGAGCAAAAATGGGTCCTAATCACAGGAGTGAAGGAAAAGATAGGGAGGACAGAATGAATTCAAGAGACGAAGCTGAGTTAGAGAGGACAGCACTTAGCAATCAGTCACTGGGGGATGGAGTGGGCAAAGATGGTGATGGTGCTCAGCTTCTGAATGAGGTTGATAAGAGCACTGTCCAAGACATGGAGCCTAGGAGGAACAACTGGTTTTGAGAATGGGAGCTGCCTCTGTTTTTGTGCAATTTGAGATTGAAGTTCCTACAAGATGCTAAGTCATGTGCATCTGATTGGCTGCAGGAAATCAGGTCTTAGGATTCAGAGAGATCAAAGCCAGATCACAACCCGGAGTTAGTGGCTGAAGGCTTGGGAATGGGTGAGATTATTCAGGGACAAGATAGATGGAACAGAGTGACTCTGGGACAAGGCCCTGGGAAAACATAGGGTTTAAATGTAGTTGGAAGGAAGGCCAGCTGAGGAGGTAGAGGGCCACCGAGGGGAAAATAAACAGCTCCTGGTAGGCTGAAGGAGGCCCCTGGGTGTGCCCGTAAGAAAGTGGTTCCACTGAATGTGGAGGATGGCAGTCTGGTTATCAGGGTGGAGGACTCAGTAAGGCGGAAGGCAGCTCCTCCTCTGAGACATTCCTCTGTGGGAGGGAATGCTACCAGCTTGGAGCTGTGGGAATGGCAGAAGATGGGACTTTCAGTGGCCTCATTTTGCTTAATGTGGCAAGAGAAGGCAAAGGAAGATTTAAGGCAATGCTTGCAGAAAAGAGACAAGTCGAGGTTATAGAGGAATACAGAATATTGAGTGGAAATCAGGAGGTTAGAAGTGCCCTCCTGCCCAGCTGGAAAAAGCTAAGGAAGATGAAGGTAGCTTTGAAAGCATTGGCCCAGTGGGATCAGAGGACTGTGGTTTATACTCTAGCTCAGCCACTGGACAGGGGAGTCACTGACTCCTCATCTAAAAGAGGAGTAAGAGTTTGCTTCACTGGGTAGTTATGGGGACCACGTGAGATGAAATGTGTAAGTGCTCAGTGCAATACTGTACTATCACAGCACTCAGCTGTTGGTGGATATTATTGTTATTTTCTTAGGAGGCTGTGATTTGAGAGCAGAGAGAGAATGTCTGGGGCAAGAATAGAATGAGATGCCAATAGGAATTTTGTGCAGAATGTGTATTCCTCTCCAGGCCTCCTTCCCATACACTGGGAGGATTTGGTTGATGGGGCAGGATTGCAGTGCCAGCACTGGGGGAGGCTAAGGGGTACTGGATGGCACTGCAACCTATGTCTGATCACAGTGCCCAGGCAGCACCATTCACACTTTTCTCTGGCAACCAGTGCTGCAGGTAAAGCTTGGGGCTTGTGTTGGAAGAAGGCTTGGGGAAGATGGAGATAAGGGTGTTAAAAAAACCATGTGAGTGAGCTATGCAGTAAAACTTGTACTTAGGAAGGCAGCATAAACAGGAAAGAGCCTTGCTGCAGGAGGAACAGAGGAGCAAGAGCCCAGACCTGCAATGGGAGGCAGAGGGTGTGCTTCTATGTGAACCCTGAGCAGTGGAGTTAGTGACCCAGCTGGGACGGCATTTTGTTATTCTAAGAGCGTTTGGTCTGTCCTTTCCTGTTTGAAAAAAACTACATCAGTCTCTCCTCAGGGTTGTGAATATTCATGCTTGAAGGCTGTCCTGGAGAGGATCTCTGGAGAGCAGAGATTCTTGGTCTCGACTGTGCTGTGGAGTCAAAAGGAGCTTTAGAACAATTTTCCCAGGACACATCCCCAGAGGATCTGACTTAAATTCCCCCCAGGTTATTGCCATGTACAGCCAGAGCTGAAGAGCAGGTAAAACACCCCACATGGGACAAGTTGGAAACACAGAAAAACCTGGGCTTAAATTTTGGCCATTAATTATGTAGCTCTGGGCAAGTGCCTTCATCTCTAAGTACAGTAGGAATAATACTACCTTCTTAAGTTTCCTAAATGGATTAAATAAGCATGTAGAGAGAAAGAGAGAGAAAGAGAGGGAAAGAGAGGGAGAAACGGAAGACCCAATTTTAATCATGCTTGACTTAAAAGTGAAGTCAAGCATCTATTTTCCTCTTGGAGGTGTTTCAGAGGCCATGCTGGCTGTGCTGTGTCTGCCTAGGTATGTTTGCACAGCTGACCTAACTTCCCAAGTCCTCTTCCCATCCCCTATCTGGGCAACTCTCTGACCAGGTCCACACAGGTCCTCATAAGGTAGGTGAAGGAAATAGTATGCTCTCTCAAAGCTCCCTACAGGAACTGCCTTTCTTGAGTGTACCCTGATCCCAGGACATGCCCATCCTACTTCCTGAGCCAAGACCCACGACTGGGGTGGCTCTTTGGACCCTTCAGTGCTTGACTCTGCAAGGGAAGTATGAACCCACTATGAGAAGCCAGAGAGTGGAGGCCGCCTGCGTACACCTTTCTGTTCTTGGTCTGCTGAAGGAAAAGTGTCTACAGGAGATAGTGGGCTCTGTTTGGGACCTAACAAGGTGAAAGATAGCATTGGTGATCAGACTGTAATTTCTTGAATTATTTGTTTGGATTCATAAAAAGATAACTTGCCAGTATTTCCCAGTCACAATGTGAGATGAAAAATCTTTGGGCCAAGAATTACAATCCCAGCCCATCCATAGCCTTCTGATTTGCTGATGTCTGAGAGTCATCTGGTTCCAGTATGTGCCGTGGGTATATATGAGCTATAGGGATGCCTTGCCACTGTCAGCTATGTTCATTCTGAGGAGCAAAGACTGCTCTCAGCTGCACTCAGCATAGATCCAAACTTGGAAGGGGTTTGGTAAATGAAGAACAATTTTTGCTAAAAAGAGTAGTGGAGAGAGGAACATGGAGCACATAATTTTAAAAGAAAAAAGATAATGTCTATTCAAGTATTCAATTCCTTTATGTGAGTAAGTGTTCCCAGAGAAGGAACAAAAGACTTTATGATAGCTAAGGGATTTAAAAAATGAAGTTGGAATTTGTCATTCATTCATTCAAAAAACATTTTATAAGTACCTCCTGAGCACAGGAGACTAGCGTACAGCTGATGCACTATCTACTCCAGGGGTGCTGGCATCCTTCCACCGATGACATGGTCATCATGTCTCAGGGAAATCAGTCCTGTGGGGCTGGCTTTGATTCTGCCCTTGTCTCGCCAACAGCCATCCTTACTCCACCTATGATAGAGGTCTCCCAGGATGGCTTCCATTTGGTTATTGAGCTGGAAGACCTGGGACCCCAGTTTCAGTTCCTCGTGGCCTACTGGAGGAGGGAGCCAGACACCAAGGTGAGACTTCCAACGTTGGCCCATGAGTCAGGCTTTGGGAAGGAGGCACAGCTTTTTGTGGGTGAGTCAGATGTGGCCCTTGAGGTACACAGTGTCTGGGTAACCTGAAGATGAACATCTTGGGTGAAGCTTGTGACAGGAGAGATGAGAGTATGCTGCCCATTCACTAGCTTCTTCTGCAAAGTACTGCTTTGGCCCATCTCAGGCTTTTGGTGGGGGACCTTTCCAGGCTGAAGTTTGGGGGCTGTCTCCTTGCCCTAAACTCTTAACCTAGTTGGGTTCATAACATCTTTAAAATGCCTTCTTTTTCCTTTTTTCACTAGCTGATCTCCTCAATCACTAAGGGGCAGCAGGCCAGGGCATTCCAGATCAACCGGATGATTTCGAAAGCACACGAGGCTGGTACAAGCCTCTTGCGGATGTGTATCTTGGCAGGGTGTAGAAGTGGGAGCAGTAAGCCAGGAGCTGGCTTATGAATAAGCCCATATAATTACTAGTGGGTGGGCCATTCAAAATGCCAAGAAGCAAGCTGCCCCTCTCCATGGGAAGGTGGCTATAATCTGGGGTGACTGGAAGGCCAGTCCTCATAAATGGATAGTCAAATAAGCAGCAGAGAGGGGGTATAGCTTGATTGGGCACTGGGAGATATTCAAGCCTGTGGAGCCCTGTCCAAGCTGATACGGTGACAAAGCCTAGAGGCCTACTCCAGTCAGCACACAGAATCTTGCTTTCTGGTAAGAGTCAGTGTGATGCAATACACAGGATGTGTGAGCAGCTAGGCTCTCAGCTAGGCAGCAGCACAGCCTCACCTACATGGAAGGCCTTCTGCTGGGACCTCTCCTGGGACCCCCTCCTCAGCTTACTCCTGGGCCCTGCCCCCTCATGGCTCCTTCCTGCATGTGCCTATAACTAGGTCTCTCAGCCTGATGCTTCTCACCATGTCCTCTCCCTTTTATGCCTACTTCCAGCTCAAGATATTCAGTTTCACAAGATCAAATTCTTAGGTGAGGAATCCATTGTCTACTCTCATCCTATCATCCTGAGCCTTAGGGGTTGCAGGTACCCAGCTACTTTTATGGGACCCTTCTCAGGTTGGGTGTATCCCTGATCCTAGGATTATCTGAGGGCAGTGCCCATGTCCCTCCATGCACTCTACAGGGGCTCCAGGTTGGGTAGTGTCCCCTGGAAGGTGGGGTGGGAAGGTAGGGCATGAAATAATGCAAGATTCCAGTATTTATCCATATTGGGTCAGGGCCCACTGGCAGGACATGATATTGCCAACCAGGCAGATGGAGTGATATGGGAGATAGGCCAGGGCCTGGTGGGAGGGAAGATATAGTTCCTGCAGATTCTTTGGGATGGCGCCCACTCCCCACCCTTGTACCTGGCAGGGATGGTGCTGGGAGAGGAGCATACACCCTGAGTCATCTGGACTTGGCTCAGACAAGCCTCTGCAGGCTCAGACACAGAGCACAGATCTTGGGGAGAGAAGTGGAGGTGGGAGGGTGGACAGATGGGTGGACAGACAGGTAGACAGATGGATAAGGGAGGAGAGGTGGTCTGCACGCTCCACTGCTCTTGTGCATTGAACACAAGGTGAATGCCATTGGGAGGAATAGTGCCTAGCAGCCTTGGCCATGCCGAGTCTTGGTTCAGTCAGATTTCCTGCCTACAGGTCTCTGCTCAAATGTCCTGTTGGTGAAACTTTCCCTTTCTGTAAAACACTGTGCCTTCTTATCTCTCTCTTCTCTCCACCTGTCCTTCATAGCCCTTCTCACCATCTCACGTGTATTTCTATATTATTTGTGTATTGTTTGTCCCCTACGGCATGTAAGCTCCATAAGAGCAGGGACTTTGTCTGTTTTGTTCAGCGTCACGTCTCTGTGCTTACAACAGTGCCTGCTGTGCATTCATCTTAAGAAAGATGAATGAAAGAGTAAATGAATGAATGGACACATGAGAATGAAAGGAACTGCAGTTGTCCCTCTCTGGTTCTCTCTCACCTTTGCAGTCCTGCTGCCCTTAGGGACTAACTGTGTTTTCTGGTCTCTTGAAGGAACATGCCAAAATAGTAAGGAGGGGAGGCATTCCTGTGCACCTCGAAACCATGGAGCCAGGGGCCCCATACTGCGTAAAGGCCCAGGCGCTGGTGAATGCCATTGGGAGGAATAGTGCCTTCAGTCAGACAAAGTGTGTGGAAGTGCAAGGTAAGGAAGGGTAGCCTGCTTGTCTCCTGGCCCAGACATGGGGACTGCCCTTGGTGTGTGTTTGGGTGCCTGCCAGATGCTTTGATCTTGATTTGCCCCCAAGCTGGATGGGTTCCCATGGTAACAGTGTGCTGGGCTCTCTAACACCCACCTCCCATGAGGCAGAGGTCCATCCTGGGGCTGGGTGGGGTTCCAAGAGCAGCTGTCTGGAGTACTTAACCCAAGCCCTCTGCTGGGGTCAGTTGTTACTTTCTGGGGTTGAGGGGGCTCAAAGAGAGGCTGCTAGGTCAGGCCTTCTAAGAGACTCCACATTATGATGTCAGTTTCTTTGATTTAGAAGGGACCTTACAGAGGGTCTAACAGAATAATCTTGCTTATTTTTCTCCCTTGAGTTTTTTTTATGTTTTAAAAATCTATATCATCTAAAGTCTTTTTGAAAAGAAGCCAAGTCAAACAAAGCACTACACTCTCTGATTCTACTATTCAAACATAACTGGTTACATTTTTGTGTAGGACCATTTAGTTTTTAAAAAAAAATATTATTTTGAATATATAGTACATTACATGGTTCAAAATATAAGATACAAGGGCCAGGCATATAGCTCAGCAGTACAAGTACCTGCCTGGCAAGTGTGAGGTCATGAGTTCGATCCTAAATAAATAAAAAATGTAAGATGCACATGGAAATTCTCTTTTCTACTCTCTCCATTCATATAATTCTTATATGCTCTCCAAATAGTTGTGACCTTATATATTCTTCTGAAGACTTTTTTTAATGCATATGCAAGTAAGTGAAAATATGTTTACTATATTGCCTTCTTTCTAGCATAAATGGTAGGATTTTTCTGGATCTTGTCTTTTTTACTTTTTGTATTTCGTAGATTTTTCTATATCAATAAGAAAACATCATTTTTGCTGCATGTTATTCCACTTGTATATTTATTATGATCAATGTAACTAGACCCCTGTTGATAGAATTTAGGTCTTTTCCAAATATTTTGTCATCACAGCCAATGTAGTAATTAATTCCTTTGTATAAAGATCATTTTGCTGCTCTATATATGCATTCGAAGGATAAATTTCTGGATGTGGAGTAGCTCGGTCAAAAGTCTGTGCATTTAATTTCAATCACTGTTTCCAAATTGCCCTCCAAAAGAATGTGATCCTGTAGGGAAGGCTATGTGCAGACGTGTGCTACAGTCCTAAAACATATGAACATTTTTCCTATTTTTTTCACAAATATCATAATCATAACATTTTCCATGCTGATCTGCTGACCGCCTTTTCATACTACTTTTAAAAATCATATCGGACTTGTTTTAAAAGTTGAATATAGCTCTGCAGCACAGTGCCTGTCTGGCAAGTACAAGATCATGAGTTCGATTCCTGGTACCAAATAAAACAAAACTTAAATAATCCATAAGTATGAAATAGTAAGAGTTAAATATTTTCCTTTCTTCCTTAACAGCACTCAGGAGTTTTCTTTTGGCATTTAACCCTCCAGCTACTGTCAGTCTTTTCTGGAAAAGCAGGGATACTCATAAAGGTTGTGGAAACAGGGCCCCACGTGTCCAGTTCTAGCACAGAGCTGGAAGGAGGCATAGCCCTGGTAGCTAGAATCAGGGCTTGATACAGCATAGTTGTTATGTAACTGTTTTCTGGACTTAGTATATTCCTCCACTGTGTGAACCATTGCCAAGAGCAGGCTGTAAAACTCTTTGTTTTCAGTTACCGCCCAGCTGGGTTCTATGCTATTCTGCTCCAGGGTCCTCTCATCCTTCTGGCGCCCAGCCCCCCCCCCTTCCTCTGGCAGCAGGGCCAGGTATGTGCGAACAAGGCTGGTGCCTTCACATACCATGCTCCTCCCTTCCCCTTCCCAAGAAAAAGATTTTAATCTTCCCTGGGGCTTTCTGGAAACAAAGCCTTAATCTAGAGCCTATGAAACCAGTAGCAATTTTAGTCACAAGGGCACATATCAGATCTCAGCATGCTGGGATCTGTTATCATGGCCAAGGTGTAGAGCCAACTCCAGGGAATCAGAGGAGGCCCACAGTGGGCGGTTTCCCCTTCACAGCTGTTCCTAAGCCTGTTTTTACTGTTTTGTCTCCAGGAGAGGCTCTCCCTTTGGTGCTGGCCCTGTTCGCCTTCATTGGCTTCATGCTGATCCTCGTGGTTGTGCCATTGTCCGTCTGGAAGATGGGCCGGCTGCTCCAGTACTCCTGTTGCCCCATGGTGGTTCTCCCAGACACCTTGGTAATAGCTGTCTCTTTCCTTTTAGCACAACACTGACCAGATGTAGCCGGGTTTATGGAGATTTGCAGACATGGGAGAAGTATACTTGCAGAACTTTTGTCTTAGTCCATTTGTGCTGCTGGAACACAATACCATAAACAGTAGAAGTTCATTTGGGTCACTGTTCTGGATGCTGGGAATTCTGAGATTGAAGGGCCACATCTGGTGAGGACTTTTTTACTGTGTCATAATACAGCAGATGACATCCCAGGGGTGAGAGCATGAGATCAAACTTGCAGCATTAAGGCCTTAGAAAGATTACTCTGTATTAATTCACTCGTAATGGCCGAGCTCTCATGGCCTAATCACCTCTCCAAGTTCCCATCTCAACACAGTTGCACTGGTGATTCAGCTTCCAACATCTGCTTCTAGGGATACATCAAATCACAGCAACTTCTTATGAAGTTAGGAGAGACCTCCCTTCTCCAGGGCACAGGGACCTCCCTGAGGCTCCTGAAGGCCACCTCTGGTTTTCCCCAGGACCTGAAATGATCAGGAGATCAAGTATAGACAAGCTGAAAGAAAAGACCTATGTATTTGTGTATGGATATTATATATAAAAATAGTTAAGATAGTTATACTACTGATTTCTCTGAGTTTGCTGAAGAGAAAGATTTGCACTGGTATTGTTTGGACAATTGAATGCAGATGTCTTGTGCTCTGGGTGAATGATTTGGGTATGACAATGCACAATGTATGTTCCATTGTTACCCCCTGATTGATGTGCTTTGAAATTTTATTGTAGTTTTTTTCTTCTTTTTCTTTCCTTTTATGCTTGAATAAAATGGATTTTTAAAAAAAGAGATAAGATATATTGATAGCCTAAGATCATTATCATTTCAGGAGTCATTCATAGTCCTGCTGAGCATTCTTTGCCCCATCCCGTAATTGTAACAGCAGCAACATCCAATAGCATATTCTGATATCACATATTCAATTTGTATACCAAGAACTGCATGGTTCTCAGAGCAGAGAACTGTTAGAATTGGTTCCCAGTCAGGGAACCATATGATAGAATTCTGGTGTGGTTGAAAAGATAAGAAGTATGAAATATAAATGACCTTTAAGAATGTGGGGAGAGACCCCTGACCCTCCGGGGTCTTGCATTCTCTCCATCAGACATGTGGAGTGGGGGCATACATGTAGCTTAGGTTTGAGGTGGAGCCTAAGGGGCATTACTGATGCACAGGTAGCCCACTGATATTCATTTCGCACCACAGGTAAATTTCTAGGGGTGGGGAAGATAGAGCTCAAGATAGAGCCCCTTGGTTCCGCCTCCCAGCTTCACTGGCTACAGTGTCCGGCATAGGGCAAGATTCTTTCAAGAACATGCGTATGAATGTGGGAAGCATGGGTTATGTTTTAGTTTTGGTAGGAATGGGATGTGGTGAGAGGGCAGCAATATGGGCCTTCATAGACTACTCAAGACTGGGATTATTCTCCTGGTTCCTCAGAAGGTCAGGATTCTTTTTTGTTTTGTTTTGTCTGTTCTGGCAATTGAACCCAAAGGTTTCATACTGAGCTATATTCCCAGTCCTTTTATTTTGAGACAGGGTCTTGCTAAATTGTCTGGGCTCTGGGCTTGAACTAGCAATCTTTTTGCCTCAGGCTCCTGGGTTCTGGGATTATAAATGTGCACTGCCACACCTGCTAAGCACAGGATTTTTGTGGTTGTTTTGAGACAGTGTCTCAACATGTATTTCAGGCCTGCTTTGAACTCACCAAGTAGCCCAGGCTGGCCCTGAACTTGAAGTGATCGTCCTATCTCAGCCTCTGAAATGCTGGGATTACAGACATGTACTGCATTGCATGGTTAAGCGCAGGATTAACTTTCTCCTGAGAACACTGGACCGCAGGTTTGAGTCTCTCCAGTAGACATAGAACCAGTGTGCCCAGGCTATTGAGGGGAAGAGCAAATGCTGTCCATAGCAATTTCCACATGGTCAATCTGGTTGCCTTCCCAGATGGTTCCCTTGCCCTCAACCACAGAGTGCAGCACAGTGAAACAAAGCAACAGTAAAAGCAAACAGAAACAAAAGCGACTCCCTCCACCCTTGCTACACCAGGAGTTTCTAATCCTGGAGGAGCCAGCAGTAGCTTTAACCAGAACTGCAGCTCCGCAATCTTGGAGTTTTTCATCAGCATGCAGTCACTGGAAAGTCATTTGTATGGCATCTGTGTGGGTTTGCTTTTTCTCTATATACCAAAACCCCTGTGGAGGATTCAGGTTTTCCACCTTGGCATGTGAATACTAAATAAAGACAAAAGGAGAAAGTTCTGCAGTTGAAGAGCTCTGGGATGGCCAGTGTTCTCTGTGGAACACAAGGCCACAAGTTCAAACACTCATGACTCTTACTGTTATCAATCAGGGAGGCAGGTGGGAATAGCAGCAGAATACTAGGGAAAAGAAAATTTGCAGGCATTGGCTGCAATGAGAAAAGAGCCAATTTTGCACCAGGCATAAAGGACTCTAGTTAGCAATATAACCGATAGTTTGATGTGTGAAAGGCTCTTACCTCACTGTCAGGAAGGTATAATTCTTTTGGTGTCCTGTGGTCTCAACTGAGATGTTATCTCATGTATTAGCCCGCAGACCTCACAGGCTCTGACTTGAGCCTTCGTTCCAGTTATCAGCATGGAGGCTATTTTCACCTGCATGTTGCTGCTTTGGTATTAATGAGACCACTGTGCCGTGGCCAGATTCAATCACATTCTTTTGGTCAATGAAGGAAGCATCTGTTTCAATATAGCCAGTTCTGCATATCTCAGTGAATAGGGTTTAGGGAGAGGTTAGGGAAAGACTGAGACAAGGGACATTGTTCCTCAGGAGAGTGCAGCTTGACAGTCTCCCACATCTCTACACAGAGGAATAATTCACCCTGCATTCTATGCTTCAGGATACCCACCCATCCTGCTGTCATAACGCTGGCTCTTCTTTTCTTTCTAGTTCTTCAGGTAGTTGGAACTTTTACCAACTCTAACACAGAGCTAAGTGCCAGGACTATTTTAAGGATTTATAGTGGTCAAAGTATATGGCAAATATTTTAAATTTAAAAGGTTATTATAGTAAAAGACATGTTGCCAATAATTCCCCTCAAAATAACTCTCTTCATTTTGAACATATTTGTCCTTTTGTTCTTGGCAGTGTGTTCTTTATTGTAATGAGGTTTTCAAAAATCACCATTTTTTATTACTTCTTGTACACTGACCCATGTCACTCTTTCTTCTGATTTTTTTTTTGTGTAATAGTTCTACTAATTATTGAAGGAAAGGTGTCAAATCCCAAATATATGTGTGGCTATATCTGTGTTTCTTCCTACACATCAATTTTCCATTCATGTATTTTGAGGCTCTGTTTTAAGTACACTTATTATTTATTTATCTTCCTGAGTAACTCTTGTAGCATTGTAACATGTTCTTTATCTCTGGTGATATTCCTTTTTGCTATATAAATATAGCCTTTTTTGTTTACTGTTTTTATGGTATATTATCCTAATATGTCCTTTATTGACAGCAAATAGTCTCCTTTTCTATTTTTAATTTTTTGGTATCAATTCTGATAATCAGTTCTGATAATCTCTGCCCCTTTAACTGATATGTTTAGTTCATTAGCATTTATTATAATGATTAATATAGTTGAATATAAGTCCATAATTTTATTTTTTGTTCCATCTATTTTTTTTCTATCTTTTTGTATTAAGTAAATACAGAATTTTAGAATTTCTCTGTACCCTTGACTTTCTGGTTATTCTTCACATAATCTTTTCATAATTACTATGGGCATTATAATATACATATTATTAAGGAGACTTTTCAGTCTTAGAGTTAAAATTGTATCACACTGTGTAAGACCATGTAATTACTTTGTAAGTACTCATGTTTTTAAAAGATAATTAAAATAGGCATTTATGTTTACACATATGTTTACCATCCCTGAGACTCTTCTTTCCTGAGATCTGTGTTTCCATTTAGTATGCCCTCCTTAAGTTAGGAAAACGTCACAGGTTTGCTAATGCAGATTTGGTGGTGGCAAATTCTGGCCTAAAAAGGATATTATTTCAGCTTAATTCTTGAAAGATATTTTTGTAGAATTCTTTGTTGACAATAATGTCTTTTTTTACTACTTCAAAACTTGCTTAATTATCTTCTGTCCCACATTATTTCTGATAAGGTAAAAGCTATAGTTTTTAGTATCATTCCCTTCTATAAAATACAGTAAAGCTCCAGCTAACCAATGAGTTCTATTCTGGGAAAATGTTCTTAAGTTAGATTTGCTCAAAAGTCTGATGAAGTGAGATTTATAGACCTTTGACACAAATATACAATGTAAAGCATAAAAAACCAAACACAGACTTGTACACAAGTACCGTGTTTCCTGACCATTCTGGATTACTATACATTGTCACCCTGTACAGTAAGCACATAGCAGCACCACTGTGACAGTGGTAGGCAGACATATGAGCTACTTACATGGTTTGTTGGTATCTATGAATGTTTGTAATGTGAGTTTAATTTAGACTATCTATGAAAGTCTGTGACTTGAATGTTTGTAAGTAGGGACTTATTGTATGTTCTTTTTTTCTTATTGCTTTCAAGTTACCATTGGTTTTCATCAGTTACACTACAATATGCTTCAGTATTTTTTAAAATTTTTATTTATTTGTTTATTTGTTTGTTTATTTTGTGGTGCTGTGCAGGCGCTTATGCCACTGAGCTAAATCCCCGGCCTCGCCTCAGTATTTTTTACTTTATATTTACCTTGCTTGTAGTTTATTGAATTTCCTGAGTCTATATATGAATATTTTTCACCATAATTTGGGAAATTTTCAGCCATATATCTTCTGATAGTTTTTTGGTTCTATTTTCTACTCTTCTTCTGTGACTAATTTGATATATGCTAGACATTAGAAATAGTTCACACATTCGTGAGACTCTATTCAGCTTTATAAGGGAAACTTTTTTCTTCTGTTTTACAGCTAAGTAACTTTAGATTATCCACTTGTTCATGGCCTCTGTTTTTATCACCAATATGATATTAGGCATGTGTAATGAACTTTTAAAATTTTTATATTTTTATTTAATTTTAGTATCTCTATTTGGCTCTTATTATAATGACCTCTGTAGCCATTTTTACTTACTCATTTGTTATGAGACTATTTTCCTCTATGTTGTGATTATAATACTTTGACTATTTTTTAAAAAATTTTGGTAATTTTACTAGATGAGCCATCCCAGGACCGATCTCTGCTGCATTTTATTTGGCCTGAGTTACATTTCATGTATTTTTATGTCCAGTGATTTGCATCATATTCCAGATATTTTGAAGAATATGTTGTAGAGATTTTAGATTTTATTATACTTCACTGAAGACTGTTGATTTTTGTTCGTTGTTTTAGCAAGCAGCTAACATGGATGAATGTACATTTGAATCTTCGGTCTCCTATGCAAAAGGCAGTTGGTATCTATTAGTCTGTTTGGCGTTAGCTAGATTGTTTGGTATGCCCCACACCTACGAGCACACAGTTCAGGAAGGATAGTATTTGTATATAACATATGTAGCTCACTCATTCTAGCTTTCTCCTTTTGGGGATTTGTCCTCTCAACTTTCTAAATTTTAAATTTGCATACATCTCTGCTTTCTGCTTTTCAAGACAGAATGACTGGCACTCTTCATAGTATCAAGTGGGACCTGCCCTTAGGCAAAGAGCTATTGAAAAGAAGAGGGGGCACTCACCCAGTTACAGTCTCTTTTTCCAAGTGTGCAAATTGCCAATGCCTTAAGGAATCTGGTTTTATATTTTGATCAGTTTTAAAAGTTGCAGAAGGTTGAACTGTTTGGTACTCTTCTGCCGTCATAGAAGTACAAACTTGAAATGGAAGGGGAATCTCTGAACCAATCCAAAGTTATGGTAGTAGAGGGACACTCCTGGCTGAGGCAGGTCCTTGGCTCTCTTTTCCCCATGTGTGGTGAAAAGGTCAGCCTTCTCCAGCCGTTCTCCACCAACTGGTCACCTTTTGTGATTCCTCTCAACTCCAGTGGCCCATGCCTGCCTTCCACTCAGAGGCTGTTATATTGGTAATACCTCCCTCACTGTTCCTCTTCTGGTCCTTTATTCAGGGACCAGGAGAGATTTTCTTCTCAGTATCAGGAATATGAAGATCTTTCCAAGACCTGCAGCTTTCTTAGTAAGGAACAGAGTAGAGGAAGGAAACAAACAAACCTATAAAGGATCAAATTTTAAAATAATATTTAGGGTCTATAAGAAAAGTCCTAAGCTGGCAAGAACTCTTAGGAATCCTGGCATATTATGAGCCACTGCCCAAAGTCAGCTTTTGGAGAAAACTAAAAGCTTAGAAGAGGTCAAAGAAGAAAAGACTCTGACAGAATGAACAGTTTCCTCTCCAGCTGATAGATGCCATCATTGCTGGCCACATTTAGCTTCTCTGTTCTCCTTTACCACCCTCCTGCATCACTCTGATGTCTTTTCCTACATTCCTTTCCATAAGGATTTTTACTTTTTTCCATTTTCTAGATTTTTAAAGTAGACCAGTTCTTCGGTCTATGAATTTTCCCACAGGGCTAAAAAAGAGATAAAGCACTAGGGTTTAAGCACATTCTGGAGTAGTAAATTTCCACCACCATCTGCCCTCTCTGCTTCAGCTCAAGCGCAGCCCCACTGTTTTCCAGCGTTGCGTTATTTGTACATAATCCTCCAAATGGCTAAAAAGTTTCTAGGCATCTTTACAAAATCTACTCATCTTTCCAATTAAACTATGGAAAACTGTCAATCAGAAATCCTTGACAGTTCTTCAACAAATCTAGCACGTGTGTTTACTTTTCTGTATGGCTGAAACAGTACATGTCTACATGTACAATTTTATAGTCATGGCTGCATTCTGAAATATACTGTTAAGAATTTCTTTCCATTAAAGTTTATAGCACCATGGCACACATCACAGTAAGACTATATTAGGCAAGGGAAATTTATTACTTCATCTCTATTTAATAACATGTCATTTTCTTTTTTCATCTGTAATTGCTCGAGGGGCCTGGGGGCTTTGATGCTAATGGGTCTTCTCTTTCTGCCACTGACTTTGCTATTTCTCTTCCTGCTGTCATATTCTACTCTAAGATAGGCAGCGAGAATAGCAATGACCCCTGCATTAGTAGATCTTCAGTGATTCATCCCGAGTATAGCCTTGTAGGCTTCACAGAAAGTGGGGTTTGTGAGCTCTGGCCTCTGGGCCAAATAGGTGCTGAAAAAAGAAGGAAAGAAAGAACAAAAAAAGGTAAGAAAGATGCAGCACACTGAATGTGACTCATTAGGGAGGTGTGATGGTGCCCAGGACACACATTTCCATCTGAAGGAAATAGCAGTTGATAACCAAGAGGGAAGGTGAGCCAGTGAGACCAGATCTCCAAATTTTAAACAAAAAACCCAGAAATCCAGGCTTTTATGAAAAGTCTCCAGATTTTTAAATATTGAAAACTGATCATTGCCACAATGAAACCCATTAATAATAAGAAGAAAACTAATTCACATTAAAAAAATCATCTTAGCCTTGCTTGAAAGTTAATTCTAACCTGTGCAGTGACATTATGTCTTCTGAACTGATGCTGTTTGTTTAACTTTCCTCTCCTGGGACTGTGCTGTACAGTATGATAGCCACAGCCATCTGTGGCTATGAAACAGGTGACATGGCTACCCTGATCCGAATGTGTTGTAAATATGAACAGATTTTGAAGATAGTACCAAAGTGAACTCTTTCAGTAATTTCTTTGGATTGCATGTAAATGTGGTATTTTGGATGTTTGTTCAATAAAATTAATATTTTATTAAAATTAATTCCATTTACTTGGGAGGGGTGTACTGGGGATTGAACACATGGCTTTCATACTGGGCTATATCCCCAGACCTTTGTTTTTTCAGACAAGGTCTTGTGAAGTCACTAAACTATGCAGGCTGGGCTAGAACTTGTGATCATCCTGCCTCATCCTTCCAGAGTGCTGGGATTATAAATATGTGCCACCACACCCAAATTCTTTTACTTTTTAAAATGTGCTCCTAGATTTAAAAAACTATATATATGGTTCCCATTATATTGCTTTTGGACAGCGCTGCTCTAGAATTTAAAAATATAATCACTGCAGACTTAAGCAGCCAGTGTATGGAGAGTCTGACTGGACCAGCGGCAGGAGACAGGTGGAGGGCATCGCTGACATTCACCCGCTGAGCTTTTTCTCATACTGTCTTTTTCAGAGCAGGTTACTCTTCTCAGAGCTCTGGGGGTGGGGTGGGGGTGCACAGGAAGAAGGGCAGGGTTTCTGTTGTCGTCGTTGTTTTGTTTTAACAGGGCCTTGCTATGTAGTGCAGGCTGGTCTTGAACTCACTATGTAGCCCAGGCTGGCCTTGAACTCATGGTGATCCTTCTGCCTCAGCCTCCCCCGAGCTGTGCGAGGGGGTTACAGGCATGTGCCACCACACCAAACTAGATTTGTTTGTGTGTTTTGACCGGAATTATATTTTGGACTTTGTGCTTCAGGTTCCCAGAGAGGATATTACTGAATAGGAAGCTGGAAGATCTCAACAAATACTGGAAGTCACTGATCTAGGCACTGAAACTGTTTTTGAGGGTTTTTTTTTTTTTTTTTTTTTTTTTTTTTTTTTTTTTGCTGCTTGCAAGTTAATTGATTAAGTAGTTGGGATGTTTGTGATATTCTTTACTACCACTATTACTGCTAGTAACATCTAATGATTGTTGGTGAAAATTAATTTCAGAAAATAACCAACTCACCACAGAAGTTAATCAGCTGCAGAAGGGAAGAGGTGGATCCCTGTGCCATGGCGATGCTGTCTTCTGGGCTTGGATCCTGCAGCCTTGGGAAAGGGCCTGGTTGTCAGGAGCTGGCATCCTGGCCTACAGGACACAGAACCCATGAGGGAGAGGCTGTGTTTCTGCCTTTCGTGGACAAAGGATGGGAGAAATGAGGAGCACCCACCTGCCTGCCTGTCCATGCCTAAAAGCAACCATCAGGGCAGAGAGCTGTGGCCAGCAGAGCACTGATGAGGGATCAAGTGATGTGGCCTCTGCCATTGGGCAGATGGGTGACCCTGAGGAGAGAGACTTAATCCCTTTGGTCCTTAGTTTTCTTATCCATAATGGGAGTTGACAACACACCTGCTCTCTATCTGCCTCTGTATATGCACACACACCTGGCTCCCGCAGGGCTGAGGGGAAGCAAGCAACACTGTGCACTGTGATAGACTCAGCTCCTCTGGAGATCAGGATACAAATATGTAAGGAGAATGATCAAAGCCTGCCCTGAAGAAGAAAAGGAGAATGGGAGCAAACACTGATTTCACTTCAAGTCAATACCTGTGCACAGGTGAGTGGCTCAGCAAACTACAGGGTGTGACCAGGATGAAGACCCCAGCCCTGCTGAACACAGGATGTACCTGAACACTGTGAGCCATGGAACCCCATGGACTGTGCGTCATGTGTGCACATTGAGGACAGAAGGTAAAATGTGCACAGAAGAACACAGAAGGACATCAGCAACAGGTGCAAGACTTTGCCCCTTTGTCCTGTTGAGTTGCTAAAAGGGCAAAGATGAAATGAAAGGGGATCTCCCTGGGCAATCCCTTTGTTCCTGGAGAAAAGTGGTCTTCAGAGATTTAGTTACATTGTCAGTCTTGAGTCCAGGGAGGCTTAAAGGACACCTTTGGTGAGGAGAGTAGGGTGTCTCTGGGTTGTAGCTGGGGCAAGGGAGGAGCACACTGAGTTCTCAGGAGCCACTTGCTGGATGGGATGCAGCCTCAGTGTACAAGAACCCCAGCTGAGGCAGATGGTATTGGCTTTGCATGGCCAGCGTGTTCCGAAGTGCTTGCTGGAGGTCTCCACAGGAAATCTGTGAGAATCCCCCTTTCCTAAAACAGCTCATGCAGGACCCCTAGCTTCTTCCAGGTTGCTCACCCCAAACCCAGCTTTAGAAGCCCTGACAATCTCTCTTGCATCAGCTGAAGAAGAATCTCCAGCAGTGAAGGAATGGAAAGAGGAGTTTCTTGAGAGACAAGAGACTAATGAGCAAGCCTGCACCTCATTTTTTAGCCCCTACCTCCTCCCAACTTGGGAGCCACTGAGTTGGTTTGTTTCTACTGCCACTGCCTGGATGCTTCCAAACATCCTGCAGTGGACATGGCTTACTGCTTCAATAAGGTCTTTCCCCCTTGGAGACAAGGACCAGCCACCTTTGTTCCACCAGGTGGAGTCTTTTTTTTTTCCTTTTTTTACATCAGTACTGGGGCTCGAACTCACGACTGCCTGCTTGCAAGGCAGGTGCTTATGCTGCTGAGCTAAATCCCCAGCCCCACCAGGTGGAGTCTTAATACATGGAAGTTTTCTGCGAAGAGGAGGAATGGTGAGCCACAGAGAGAGAGTCCTCTGAAATTTGATGTCCACATGCTGGAATATAGCAACATGAGGAAGAGAGGAAGGAGGTAAGTGGGTCCCTGAGACCTGGGAAGGCTCTGAAGTGAGAATTGAGACCCACTGTGAAAGCAAAGTGAGAGACTTAAACAAAGATGAATGTGGCAGCTGGTGCTTTCTCCCCAAGACCAGACTCAGTGTGGGAGGGGTGGCTTGAACCTACAGGCACAGTAACTACTAGTGACCTCAGAGGCTCCCACAGAGAAATTCACTGGTGAAACAGAACTGTGATGCAGTGGACTGCAGTAGCTGGTGAGCTGTTCTAGTTCAGATGTTCCCTCAGGGAAGGGTGATTGGTTAGTAGCCATCTTGGAGAGGAGGCCAACTGAACTCAGAACTCAGAACAGCTATGGGCCAGCTCCATCTAGCGACTCCCAGTGTTAGGGTGAGGCTGCCGAGTTTGTCAGCAAGTGCTCAGGGAGCCAAGTTCAAGCTGGCACAAGACTATTGGAGGCTGAACAAATCATGTTCCAGTCTCACAACCAGCCGGACCTTCAGTGGAACTAATGGTGCAGGCTTGCTGGGATTATTCACTACCCTGCTGTAAAATTATGGCTGGCTTGCTTGGGTTAAATAACTCAGATCTGGGCTCTGCTTACATTGCCTACAGCAGAGAAACACATTGAGGTGGACATTTTAAAACAATTTTTTTTCTTTTCTGGCTTTTGTTTTAATTTTTTTTTCTTCATGATTATTTGTTCTTGTTTTTATGTGAGTGTAAAAATTGTAAAAATTCTAGTTTTTGTTTTTGTGTTCTGTTCTCATTTTTATTTCTTCCTTCACTGTTTCCCTCCTATCTTCTTCACAAGTTTCCCAAAGTTTGCATAATTTTCCTTTCTTCTCTAACCATGTTCTAATCTTTTCCTCTCCTTCTATTTCTCTGTTTTCCCCTGACTCTAAAGCAGATACAGACTTTTTTTTTTTTTTTGTCTTTTTCATTTTTATCGGTACCAGGGATCGAACTCACGACTGCCTGCTTGCAAGGCAGGCGCTTATGCCGCTGAGCTAAATCCCCAGCCCCAGATACAGACTTTTTAAAAAAAAATAGAGGAGCTTAGGAGCATGATAGAAACCATGAGTGTCCAACATCAGAGGGAAATGAACTCCATAAGACAGACTCAAACCAATATTGAGGGTATTAAGAATTCATTGAAAATACACACAGTAGAATGAGTCAATATTAGGACAGAATATCAGGCCTAGAAGACAGGATTGTAGTTAGTGATTATGAAAAGAAAAATTCCTAAAAAATTGCAAAGGATTATGAAAAATCAATCCAGCAGTTATTAGATGGTGCAAAGAAGAATAACATAAGATTGAACAGAGTCAGTGAAAAATCAGGAGAATACACAAGAGACATAAAAAACAAAACAAAAACAAAACAAAAAAGACAAAAAAACAAAACCTGTTCACAGCAATAGAAAACTTCTCAAGCAGGGAAAAGAAATTTGACATACAGATAAGTGAGGTATATAGAACTCCACTAACCAAGGCAAAAAAAGAAAAAATTTAGTACACCAAAGCATATAATACGCAAGATTCCAGAAATTCAACACAAGAACAGAATATTAAAAGTTGTAAGAGAAAATAAATAAATTACCTATAAAGGAAAGTCCATCAGAATCACATCAGACCTCTCAACACAAACCCTCAAGACAAGGAAAACTTGGAGTGAAGTATTTCAAGCCTTAAAGGAAAACAACCAGATCAATGTAATCCACAAAACTATCTTTCAAAATTGATGGAAAAATATAAAGAACATGACAAAGAACACTTGAGGAAATTCATATCCACCATACCAGCACTCCAAAATGTCAAGGACATTCTAGAAAGTGATAATAAGAACTACAACTCCATGAACCATAACAAAATGAATCTACTACACAAGTTAAGCCTTTAAACAGAAGGGGGAAAATGAGAACCAACAACAGGAAAATAACGTGACAAGGATAAATCAAAACATATCAGTTATAATCAGCAATATTATTGGTCTCAATACACAAATCAAAACTAAGACTGGCAAAATGGATCAAGAAACAAGATTCAACAATATGCTGCTGTAAGAAACACATTTAATTCAAGAAGAAATTCATAGACTAAAAGTCATTATTATTTGCAGATGACATAATTCTCTACATAGAGGAACCCCAAAGAAATTCATTGACTGAAAACAAAGCTCCATGGGAAAGGGACCCAGAAGACAGAAGTGGTAGCTATTTTATTTACAGGCAAAGTGGACTTCAAGTCAAAGCTGATTAGGAGAGACAAGAGCTGACTAATTGTTCCTTGAAAGAGAATGATTCAAGCAAAAAAACTAACAATCATAAAAAAATACGTGTACAAATACCAAATACCAGTACAGCCAACTATATAAAACAAATACTAACATACATGAAAAATCGAATAAGCGCTAATACAATTATAATGGGAGACCTCAGTTCTCCACTGTTATAAATAGACAGATCAACTAGACAAGAAATCAACAATGAAATATCAGAACTGAACCAAACTTTGAACAAATGGACTTAGTAGACATCTACAGAGTGTTCCAACCCACATCATCAGAATACACATTCTTCTCAGCTGACATGGGATGTTCTCCAAAGTAGACTGCACACTAGCTTATAGGACTTGCTTAAGTAAATGCAAAGGAACTGAAACTATCCCATGCATATGATCAGATCACAGTGCAATGAAACTGAAAATCAATGTCAGAAGAAACCACAAGAACTTCATAAACATATGGCAATTAAACGACATCCTCCTTACCAACCAATGGATCACAGATGAAATTAAGGGAGAAATTAGTCAGTTTCTACAATTAAATGATAATGCCAGTAAACATCCCAGAACTTATGAGACACAATGAAAGCTTTCCTATGAGGGAAATTTATAGCAGTGAATTCCCATATCAGAAAAACACAGTGAAATTTTAAAAAAAACACCTAACATTGAACCTCAAACTTCTAGAAAAATAAAGGCAAGTCAAGCCCCAAGCTTGTATGAGGGAGGAATTGATAAAGATCAGAGGAGAAACTAATGCAATGGAGACTAAGAAAACAATACAAAAAAAATTGGTTCTTTGAAGCATTAAATAAAATTGACAAGCCCTGAGCCAACCTTACCAAAAAAGGAAAGAAAAGACTAAAGTCTTTAGCAATTAGGAATGAAAAGGGTAAAATCACAACAGATCCTGCAGAAATCAAGGAAATCACCAATATCTACTTTGAGAAACTATATTCTAATCAGATGAAAAACAGAATAAATGGAAAGATTCCTAGGTACCTATGAATTATCCAAGCTGAATCAAGAAGATATAGAAATTCTAATAAACCAATATCAGTTAATGAAATTGAAGCTGTAATTAGAAACCTACCAGCAAAGTAGCCCATGCCGTGATAGATTTACAGCTGAACTCTACACAAAATTTAGAGAAGACCTAATGCCACTGCTCCTCAAACTTTTTAATGAAATTGAAAAGGAAGCAATATTCTCAAATTCATTCCTAAAAGGCAAGCATTACTCTGACAACCAAAACCAAAGAAGGATCCAAACAAAAAAAGAACTACAGGCCAATATCCCTAATGAACTTAGATGCAAAAATCCTCAAAAGATACTGTCAAACAGAATGCGGCAAATCATCAAGAAGGCCATACACCTCGACCAAGTAGGATTCATCGCGTGGATGCAGGGATGCTTCCACATATGCAAGTCAATAAATGTAACATACCCTATCAGCAGAGCCAAGGACAAAAACCACATGGTCATCTCAATAGATGCAGAAAAAAACATTTCACAAAGTCCAACACTCATTCATGACAAAAACTCAGAAAAAAGTTGTTAGTTGTTAAAGATCTAAAAGTTAAAATATCTGTTGGAAGATAGAATAGGTAGAACTCTTAAAGATACTGGTGTAGGCAAACTTTATGTACAAAACCTTGATTGCACAGGAACTATCACAAAGAATTAATAACTTGAATCTCATTGCGTTAAAAAGCTTTTTCACAGCAAGAGAAACTACCAACAGCATGGAAAGACAATCCACAATTTTTATCATCCGTACTATAGGCAAAGGACTCCTATCTAGAATATATAAAGAACTAACCCCCCAAAACAATAACAACAACAACAACAACAAACTCCCTCAAATTTAAAGAGTCCAAAAATGGGCGTCTGAAGTGAGTGAGTAGATACTTCTCAGATGAAAAAGAAGAAACCATAAATAAAAATATATGAAAAAATGTTAAATTACACTGGTCATTTTTGAGATGTAAATTAATTCCGAGATCCCACCCCACCCCAGAAAAATGGCTATTATCAAGCAATTAAGCAATAACAAATGCTAGTGGGGTTTCCGGGAAAGAGGAACACTTTCCCACTGTCGGTGAGAGTGCATGCTGGTGCAACTACTGTGGAAGGCAGTCTGGAGATTCCTCAAACTTTGTGCCTAGAGATTCCATTTGACCCAGCTATTCCTCTTCTTGGTACCTTCCCAAAAGACTGAAAAGCATCACATCACAGTGATATATGAACACTCATCTTTAGAGTGGCACAGTTTGTAATAGCCGAATCTTGGAAACAGCTCATTGCCCATCAACTGATGAATGGATAAATAAGTCGTGTGTGTGTTTCTTTTAATACAGTAAAGCACAAAGAAGGATAAACCTGAGACATCTTTAGCTATCATGGATGCACCTTGGGACCATACTCCTAAGTGAAATAAAGTGGACACATATGCTCAAATATCACATGGTTCCTCTGGCGTGAGAAACCAAAAGTGTAAACAAGGGCAAATGTATTATCAGTACTGGGAAATGGGAAGAAAATGTTCAAATGAGAAGGGGAACAAGCAGGGGGTGGGGAAGAAGGGACAAGAGAAAAATAGAGCTAAAATAGAAACAAGCTTTTGGAAATGAAGAATTGAAGGGGGGTTGAAGTGAGGGGAGGGGAATGGTAACAAACAGAAGAAACAAGATATATCATGTACTAGGACAAACTGCTTCCGATGGGTGGTACCACTGTATCTAAATGTGCCAATAAAATAATAAAATAAAAAAAAACAAATTTCCATTGGCGTTAAAAGAGAGAGGGAGAGAGAGAGAGAGAGAGAGAGAGCGAGTGCAGCCTCTCTCCCAGCTAGGAAATTGCCAAATTCTTGCTTTTGTACCATTTTGTTTGTTGCTGTGTTATTTTTCATGAAGAGAGTGAGAATTTTATATTTAACTGGAAACATATGTTCATTGTGCGAAAACAAAGACCATGCTATTACTATATGTGTTGTCACTTTGTTGCTTCCCTCTCCTCTGCCCCTTCACCCTGAGAGTATTTCTCTCTGTCACCTACCAGGGCTGAGAAACAACAAATGAGCCCCAAGCACCCGCTGCTAGAAGCACCCATGAGAGTTCATCCATTTTTTGCTGGCATATGCAGGTGCTTAGAAATTTCTGTCAATCTTCCGTGTCTTCCCATGTCCCTGACCATGCAGCAGACACTGAGCTAGTGCTGATGACTGAGGGGCTGCCTCCTCCACAGCTGCTAACTCTGTTTCCCCTGGAGCTCCCTCTGTAGCTTATTTATCCCGGTCTCCTGGTTCTTTAAGCATGGGCACTTGCATGATGGGACAGGAGTGCATTTTGTGATTATAACAGGACAACAGCTGTAAATGGGGCTTATTCAAGTGAATTAGGAACGTGGGCCCCCTACTAATAACCTCCAGCCTTGCACTTCACCTGGAAGCTTAAACTTTCAGATGCTCAGATAGGAGGCCTAGGAGCAGGCTCAGAATGAATGCTGGCTTCCTTTTCACAGATTGCATTGTGTCCTATGGGCACTGGGAGAAGTATAGGAGGGGAGTGGCCTGGGTGGCTTCTGATGCTTCCGTGGCTCAGGCTGTCGTCTACCCAGGAGCTTCCCCAGAACCAAGCTCAGCATTCTGATGGTGCCTTCATCGAGCAACACCAGGGTCCAGTGAGCAAAGACCTGTGCCATGATATTTCAGTGGGGTAAGGGGAAAATACTAATACTGTAGTAGTAAAAAAGATTATCATTATTAAGTGATTTATCTAGCATAGTGGGACCTTATAAGCCTTATGGAAAAACAAAAAGGTAGAGCAAAAAATGGGGCAGATCATGCAGCCTTCTCAGTCATGGTAAATGCAAACATCTGAACCCAAAATGTCAGATAAGTGCTTGCCTAGCAATGCAAAATGAGAGTAATTAGACAGTAAATTCTTAGGGGAATGCTGTCTAAAACAAAGGTTTGAACTGTTTGTATTGATAACACACTTAACAAAATTAATCTCCTACGTTCCCAGATAAAGCAAATAATTGTTTAATTAGGAACCTAGCTTCCAGGATAAGTGAAAAGGAGGGCCAACTGCAGACTGCAAGGTTTGAATAAGAACCGTGTACTGTTAACTGAGGCAAGTAAGATAATATGAGACCAGGCTTCTGAACATTTTAAATCTAGCTTGGCTTTTTCTCACTGAAATGGCCTAGAAGAAATGTCACCCCCACAATGTACACTATTGCCCAGATTTTGGTTTCTAATGCTATTTTTGTCCAAAGAAGCCAAAGATTCTTGGAGCCATGGCTAAATTTCATGTCCATCTGAGGGTGAAAGATACAAGACAATTCTAGAATATCTACACATGGCGGGATCATAAAACAAAAAGCTTAAATAATTGTGTCATTCAAAATTATTCATAACCGGAGAACCAGCCAGTGTCTCCTGAGATCCATGCCATGTTGGAACTTAGGACTCTGGGAAGCCAAGCCAGCACCTCCCCTCCCTGGTGGGCGGAGGCAGGGTGGCAGACTGCAGCCCTTCCAGGGGGAGAACTAGCAGTGTCTCCTGAAATTCACGCCATGTTGGAACTGAGGAGGCAGTGAAAACAAAAGACCATCCTGCTCCCTGCTTAGCAACAGTGAACCTACTGCTACATGGCCTAGAGTCAAATATCCTACTTCCCCTATCCTCCGTCTCCTCCCCCTCCCTGAAAAAAAAATAATAATAAATGTAACTCCCATTAAGAAAAAAAAGAAACTGAAAAGAAACAGTTAAATTATCATAACAAAACAAAACAAAACAAAATTATTCATAACCAATCTGAAAAGTGCTCCTATTGGCCAGCAGAGGAGCAATGTGAATATCAGGGGGTGTTGTTTGACATCAATTGATACAATAAACTTGAAGTCATCCACCCATAATGGTACTTAAGAAGTGCCAAAGATAACAAAATAGATTCCCAAAGATGAATAGAATAAAATGTACAGAGGGGCGTGGTGGCAAACACGGGTAATCCCAGCACTTGGGAGGCTGAGGTGGGAACCATCGTTGTGAGTTGAAGGCCAGCCTGGGCTACAAAGAGAGTTAAAGACCAGCCTGAACTGCATAGTGAGACTCCGACTCAAAAAGACTTCCCCCATTAAAATAAATAAATAAATAAAGAAGGAAAGGAAAACGAAACAGGGAGGAGAAGCATAAAGGCTGTTTAGATTCTGAAATCCCTCTTTATCAGAATGCAAAAGAACCTTGCCATGGGGCCTCTTGACAAGATAGAGACAGACTGAAAGTGGCATGAAAGGGAGAGGCTATAACAAGCCTTGAAGAGGCAGGGGATGGTGGCTGGGGCCGGGGGCCAGGGGTAAGTGGTGAAGGGGCAAATCTCTGTCTGATGCATCTACGCTGACTACATTGTTTTCTATTGGTGCAATACATTGCATTCATTAATCAACAAGCCCAACACAACTGAGTAGCAAGTAGAACTACTGTACTTTTGTTTGCGCGGGTTTTTGTTTTGATTTTGGTCTTTTTGGGACAAGGTTTCGCTATGCAGTTCAGTCTGGCCTTTGACTCACTTTGTAGTCCAGGCTGGCCTTGAACTCACAGCAATCCTCCTGCCTCAGCCTCCCAGGTGCTGGGATTCCAGGCTTGTACCACCATATCTGGCTTCTTCCTGTTTCTTATATTAAAAAGTAAAAAAAAAAAAGGTATCTTTTTTTTTTTTTTGTATTCTGCGTGCTCTATCTTAGCCTTTGGCAAGAGTGATTTTCTGAGGCTGAGATCTCCCGGTTTTCTTTGAATCTCTTGTTGACCAGATCCCACCGCAGTTTCCGGAGCCCACCAGGATGGGAGCTCCTCCTTATGTTCACGGGTGTCTGGCGCCACCTTGTGGTGAGTTCTGGAAAATTCCTTCTGCTCCTGCTTGTGCCCTGGGTTCCTGGATGAGAGAATGGAAAGTTTAGACCAGTTCCTAGAACAAGAACTCAGCAGAAAAACTTCCATGGGCTTGGCCCCTACGAAGCCGCCGTTGTCACCAGTGGACTTTGCCGTCAGCGTCTCCTCACCCTGTGTCTCGCCGCCTCCGCGGATGAGTCCTTTACCCTGTTCCCGCAGCGCCTGTTCGCTGGGCTGTGGCCTCTGCTGGCTTCCGGTCTCCTTTCCTGTGTGTTGCTGTTCCCTTGTCTTTAAAAAGACTTATTTTGATGCCCCTTTTTGCTGTGTCCTATTTCCAGCCTACCTCTGGGCCAGACTGACTTTCTGGGGGTCCCATCGGGCCCCTGCTCCATAGGGGGCGCCCCTCTGCTGCCCCACTCACGCTAAACCATGGGTGTGGCCAGCCTGTGAGGCCGGGCCTGGGACGTCAGAGAGGACCCCAAACTGTCTTCCTTTGCTGGCTCCTGGGATGCTGAGGTCCTGAAGCCCCTGACAGAGCAACCCCGGAAAAGCCATCTACGTGGGAGCCCTCGCAGAGGGAGGGCGCAGCTTTTCCTTCCTTGCCTTGCACAGCGCTGGGCTGCAGGCCGGAAGGGCCAGCAACCCCGCGAGACCGAGCAAGAGCCTGAGCCTGGATCCAGCCCTTGTCCTGTGGCGGAGAGGCCTGTTCTGGGTCCCACTGTGGGACCTCATTGAGGGACATTCTATTTATTATTTAAAAATTTTTTATTTTAAAGAGAAAAAAAATTTCAAAACAAGAGGATAACAATGGCTAATACATTATGTATTGTTATCTTTAAATTAATAACTCAGAGTACAAGATATTGGCATTTAATTGTCCAAAAAATATTAGCACAAACCATTATTGTGAACTAAATTATAGCTATAACCATAACTATATATAGTTATCGTTAACTGAAGTATAGTATAGTATAGTACAGTGTAGGATAGTATAGTATAACTATCTTATCACATATATATGTATATGTGTGTATTTTTTTTTCTTTTCCCTTCTTTTTGCCTTTCCTTTATCCCACTTTCTCTTTCCTTTTTAAGCTTCTTCCAATTTTACTATATCTGTTGTGTGTTCTGGATCTTTTTTACTCTTTCAGCTTCTCACACTAGGGAGATAATACCACATTTACACATGTGCATGTGGTGTATTACACTTATGAGTATGGTCTCGAGTTGCATCCATTTACCTATAAAAGTCTCCAGTTTATTCTTCTTTTTGAACTCAGGACCTCGTGCTTTCTAGGCAGGCACCATGTGCTAAGCTATATCTCTGGCCCTAGTTTATCCTTATGTGTGAATAGTACTCCACTATGAAAGGGCCATGTCTTTTTTATCCATTCCTCTGTTGATGGGCATTTGGGTTGTTTCTGAGATCTGGCAAACTGTGCTTCTATAAACACAGTGCACATCCCAGAAAACAGGGCTTCTCGTGTGCTCCCACCTGTAGCCACACTGACAGACTTTCCTGGTGAGTTCACTCCATTTAACTTTAGAGTCTTACACTTGGAAATAGATCAAAACAGAAAAGCCCCTCTCCTCAGGCTAAGTCTAATTATGGCGGGACAATGGCGTGAGACAATTACCATTATTTATTTATTTATTGTTGACTGTCTTGCTGTGTGGTTCGCGCTGGTCTTGAGCTCACTATGGAGCCCAGGCTGGCTTTAAACTTGCTGTGGTCCTCGCGCTTCTGCCTCTGAGTCCTGGGATTACAGCATAAATCTCACGTTCAGTTATTACTGTATTTTACAGAATATTCACGTTCAGTTATTACTGTATTTTTTAATTTAGTAAATGGCAGCAAGTAGACGCTGAAATTTAAATGCGAGTAACTTTAAGCAGCTCCGTTCTAATTTATGAAATGGTGTCTTTTTCAGATAAAGGAATTTTCCCATGTTAGAAAAACTGGAAGGTTTAAATGATCTGCTTTCCCTGCTCTTCCTCTTAACTTCTATTTTTTCTTTCTTTCCTTCCTTCCTTTTTCCTTTCTTTCTTTCCTAATTCACTGTTTTCTCTCTCCTTTTAAATTTAAGCTTTAAGTGTAACTGGTTATATGGTACAATATTCTTTTAAAATTTTTTATTTTAAAAAAATAAGACAAATACAAAACAACAAAGCAGATCAGAACAAAACAATGCAATCAACACAGAATTTCAAAACAAGACAACAGGAATCAACAGTGGTTACTATAATGTCTCTTGTTTTCTTCTAAATAGTTGTCCATATCTTCACACACAATGAATTCAAATAGGACAAAAGTAGTATAAAACCGATCAAAACAAAAGGATGAAAGCTTTACAGCAAAACCAGACAACAGAAAAATCAACAATGGCTGCCGTAACATCTCTTGTTCTCTTCAAAATAGCTGTCCATCCCTTCACATATATTGAAATTAAATAATACAAAACAGGCTAAAACCAACCAAAACAAAGAATAAAAGCATTACTGGACTCACAACAGTACGATAGGAAACCAGCAATGGCTACCATAATGTCTCATTTTCTTCAGAGTAGCTGTTCATACCATCACTTGTAATAAAATCAATTCTTATAAATTTTTTAGGGAAAGTTGTAGGCATGTATAAGCCTATATGTATACATCTATCCTTTCTGAATTAGAGGGGAAAACAAAACAAAACAAAACAAATTATGAGAAAACAAGAAATGAAAGAGACAAATAACAGTAACGAAGAGCCCAAAACAGTGACAATACAGGCTTGCAAAACAAGATGGTAGGAACATAACTAAGGTTGTTATTTTGCATAGTTTTCTTCAAAAGAGTTACTCAGGTTACCACATATAAAATAAAAAATTGATCTAATCCTATGAATGTTAACTGTTTTGTTCCAAGAACTAATAAAATTAGTAGCACAATCAGCTAATAGAATTAGTAGCACAAGTGTACATATACAAAATTATATCTTTTTTCTTTTCCATTCTTCTTTTCTCCTTTTCCATGAGTTATTTTTTTCTCCTTTGAGCCAGTTTCTTACCCTTTCATAATATTTACTGAAGATTTTATATCTTATTTACTCTTTCAGTTTCTTACACTAGGGAGCCAATACAATATTTAAACATGTGAGTTAGATTTATTTCACTTATGAATATAGTCTCAAGTCTCATCCATTTAACTATAAAAGCCTCAACGTGATCCTTTTTTATAGCTGAGTAGTATTCTATTGTATAAAAAAATACCACATCTTTTTTTTTATCCATTCCTCTGTTGATGGGCATCTGGATTGCTTCCAAGATCTGGCTATTACAAATTGTGCTCCTATAAACATAGGTTCACATATATCACTGTAGCATGTTTTCAGTTCTTCTGGGAATATGCCCAGAAGTGGAATAGCTGGGTCAAATGTGACTGCCAATCCCAGCTTTTTGAGGAATCTCCACACTGATTTCCACAATGGCCACCAATCTACACTCCCATCAACAGTGCAGAAGAGTTCCTTTTCCCCGCAGCCTCTCCAGCATTTGCTGTTGGTAGTTTTGTTTATCCTGGCCATTCTTTCTGGAGTGAGATGGAATTTCAGGATGGTTTTAGTTTGCATTTCTCTAATGACCAATGATGCTGAACACTTTTTCATGTATTTATTTGCCATTTGTATTTCATCATCTGAGAAATGTGTATTCATGCCCATTTTTGCATTGGGTCTTTGAATTTTGGGGATCTGACTTTTTAAAATTCTTTATATGTTCTAGATAGAAGCCCTTTGTCTGAGGGACAGTTGACTAAGATTTTTTTCCCAAGTTTTGGGTTTTCTTTTTACTCTGTTGGAGATTACTTTTGACATGCAAAAATTTTTTAATAAGAGATCCCAATTATTGATTCTGGGAAGTATTTCTCCTGCAGTTTGACCTTTGTTCATGAATTTCTGACTACCCCTATGTCTTCAATATTTCTATCTACTTTGTCTTCCAGCAGATTTAGTGTTTCTGTTTTAATATTTAGATCTTTGATCCATTTTGCCTTTAGTTTAGTGCATGGTGATAGGCATGGGTCTAGTTTTAGTTTTTGGCATATGGAAAGCTGGTTTTTCTGGCACCACTTATTAAAGAGGCTGTCTTCCAGTGAACATGTTTGGCTCCTTGAAGACAAAGGTGGCTGGGTGTGTTTGTAATTATGGTTGTATCTTCTAATCTATTCCATTGATCTTCTGATCTGTTTTTACTCCAGTACCACGCTGATTTTATCACAGTAGCTTTGTAGTATAACTTCAAGTCAGGGATTGTGATGCCTCCTGCCTTGCCTTTGTTGCCCAGAATTGCCTTTTCTATTCTAGGTCTCTTCTGGTTCCAGATGAATTTTAGGCAAGATTTCTCTAGATCTATGAGGTTTACTAATGGTATTTTGATCAGAATTACATTAAATCTGTATAACAATTTTGGAAGAATGGCCATTTTTACAAAGTTTGTTCTTTCTATCCATGAACAAGGAATGTCTTTCCATTTCCTGAGATCCTCTTCTATTTCTTTTTTCAGAGTATTATAATTTTCACTGAATAGAACTTTTACTTCATTAGATTGATTCCTAAGTATTTCATTTTTTTGGATGCTGATGTGAATGATGTGGCTTCTTATTCTCTCAGTGAGTTTGTTGTTTGTGTAGTGGAGTGATATTGATTTTTGAGTGTTGACTTTGTATCCAGCTACATTACTGAATTTGGTTATTATACCTAGAAGTCTTTCAGTGGAGTTTTGGGGTCTTCTATGTAGCATGTCATATCACAGGTCCCTTCTTACTAGCCAGCAGTCCAGCCACCAGTCTCCCTGGGAGGTGAGGTTAAGGGAAGTTAAGCCAGATGCCTCACCTTCCCATGGACCACAGCCCCAACCAGCTCAGAGGCTCAGCCACATCATGGGAATGCCAGCCTGGGGTGAGGCCACCACTGTACTACAGCCCAAGACCATGGGGTGTAGGTACCCAGCCCTCCCTGGGCCCACACCCAGGCCTTGCAGAGATGGACAGCTACAGTGAACCAGGGATGGAGGACAGGGGAGACAGGTGGACACATGGCCAGGACAGGGCAGTGGGTGGCTGACAACCTGTGCCAGGAAGCAGGGAAGCACACAAGAGCTGAGGCTCCAAGACACCAGCCCAGGTCCCATTGTCCATGGGACTTCACTTAAAAAACACAAAGTCAAAGGTAAAATTAATAAGAATTTCAGAACAGCAACCACAGAGCATTAAACCCCACTGGGGAGGAGGCCTCCCGAGTTCAGGTCTTGGGTAGCTGCACTGGCCCTGACATGGGTAGTGAGGTGGGAGGTTCTGGCTGGAGCAAAACCACTAAAACACCTATGCGGGATCTGTCAAAGCATGAGACCCAGGGCACACATACGGCACATGGGAGCTGAGTGGGTACAGCCCCTGAGCTCTGTGCACAGAACCAATCAGAAAAGTGCTGTTTTTAGTTCTTCGTTTATTCCCAGCACTTGGGAAGCTGAGGCAGGAGGATCACTACAAATTTGACGTCCACATGGGTAGA